GAATTGTTATGCAGATTAACCCTTACTCTCTGAGGGTAGTTTACTGCATGTCAGTTGGTTATGCCAATGCCCTCCAGCTGCAGTTATTTGGCAGATAACAAGTCTTAACAGTGAAGGCTCCAATTGGCAGGAGTTGGAGGCCCTGGAGGGTGCCTGATACTGACCAGCTGGGGGCACTCACTTTGTTATCAGAGGACTCTCATTGTTCTCTGTGGCATGTATTGGAGTGCCTGTCCAGTTACCCTTGAAATGACATGGCAGATATTGGAGGGCCATGCAAAAAACATAGGAGATTTTCTTGAGGCACATATTGGCATGCGTTGGAGGGTCTAGTAGGGTAAGGGTTAAATGCCTAAATTCCAATAAGAAACTTACACTTCATATTTGTTTTTATGTACAACATGAAGTACATGAATGTACAAATTACAATATCACATACACACTCACTGTGTACATGTTTTATGTATCCAACGTTAAATTCAATATGCACAGTGTGGGAAAAAAAAAGAGCAATAACTGGCAAATTGGATAAAAAAAAACAGCATCTGAAAGGAAATTTAGCGGATAGCATGGCTGATTAACCTATGGTAACATGCATTGTCAGCCTGCTTATTACTTGGGTCACTATTGGTCAAGACCCCCATTGGTTTGTACACAGTAGGCCAGGAGGTGAGGAAGAAAATTTTGACCATTGGTGACCTCTTAAGCAAAGGGAGGGTTAAAGAATAAACAAGTACATTTACAGTTACCTAGAAATAAAGAGAAAAAAACTTCCCCAATTAGTTTTAGTTTCTAAAATAGCCATTCATAGTAATCAACTCAAGCCAAAACAATATTTTTTGGTAAAATCCCCTTGAGTTTTTCGGTATCCTGCCAACTGTATTTTCACATTCACTTCTTCCTGTTTCCCAGTTGAGTTGTCTTTTGTGTCATCTTCAGGAAGTTTTGTTCCCATACTTGTAGCACACAGTGTCTTGTAATACTTGTGATGTCGGTACTGCACACTGACCCTAACCTTCCCAAATTCTCCACAATCCTCTTTGCAAAATGGAGGATTCTGTAGGATTGAGGCTAAACATGTATGGCAAAAAAATGTGTGGCTGATTTTGGAGGATGCGCTGTGTCAAGGTTTTAGGCCGGACCTTGTGTTGTTTGTGCTCAGTAGGCCTAATGCTCAGCCGTGCATACATTTGGGCCTAGATTATACTGGAAAATCCCCGGCACTGCTCCAGGATGTCACTGGCTCTGCCTCAATATGTGGACAACAATTGCTAGAGGATTTTGCAGGATTGAGGCAGTGGTCACTCCTCCAAGGACCACATTCAAGAAATAACGGAGGGATTTTGCAGGAATTGAGGCTGTATGCAATTTCTACAGAGAGGCAGTTGTGGGATTTTGCAGGATTGACATGATTGAGGTTGCGTCCTAATAAAAATGCCTAGGAAGTTAGGGTTAAAGGGAAGATACAACATTTGCAAGCATCACAAAACGAAATTATCAAATTATCACCAAATACCTCACTGGATTGTGAGGGAATGACAGTCTAAAGCATCCTGTAAAATCGCGGCTCCTGGTGTGCTGACATTTTCAAGAAAAATGTGTATTTTTCCAACGCTGGTCGGCCGACCAGCATTGGAGAAAACTGGCTTTTTTTCAAAAACTGCTCCGAATTTTCATAATTAGTTATTGCAATTGATTACACACATGTGAAGGGGTACAAGTCTGCCAGACTGATTCTCTGACCTTACAATTCCCCAAAGTCTATAAATTGCTCCGTTTCATCTTAAGTGGGGTCAGGGAACGAGACTGCAAGGACATGATTGGTTTTCTTGGTTTTTCCAGCATCTACAAGCCCAAAACGTGAAAAAAAGTCATTTTAACAATATTTGCTATAGCATGCTAATCCTCCAAATCCATTTATTTCTGAAAATTGCAGCAAAAGCAAATGTTGTACATTCCCTTTAACAATACCATGTACTGAGGACCACCAAGCGTTTAACCTCAAAACAGGCCACTTCCCTGTAGTCTTGGTACCTAAAGACCGGAATTGAATAATTTATTCCTCTATTTTGCAGCCAGTCCCGTGACAAATGCGGTAAATTTGCCGCACCAGTGGAGGTCTCTATCAACAAGATGAATACAATCCAGTCTGGGCAATATTGGCAGTGCTACCCGAAAAAAATTCCAAGCATACATGTACGTACATGTACCTCATGCGCGTGCATATATTAGCTTGAATACAGCGAGCATGAGATATGCTCAGAATTTCCTGGGTAGCGCTGCCAATATTGCCAAGACTGCATTTGATTCATCTTGTTGATATAGCAACATCGTTTGTCACGGACCAGCTGTACATGTACTTGAGGGGGAATAATATGCGAATCCAGTCTCGGACCCAGACTCCTCTCAAGGTGGATGTCCATATATTGAAGCGTTGGGATCCTGCGTAGAGATGGGGCCGTATCATAAGTCCGACGCCTCATACAGGTCCGACGCCTCATAATTCCGGAATTTCGGACTTATGAGGCGTCGGACTTATGAGGCATAACATTTATTTATTCCGCCTCATAGGTCCGACGTCTCATAAGTCCGACGCCTCATAAGTCCGACAACTGAAAAACGAGGCGTTTAATTTGGGACTTACGAAGCGTCGGAGCTATGAGGCGTCGGACCTATGAGGCGTCGGACCTATGAGGCGTCGGACTTATGAGCGGACCCCGTAGAGATCGTCCCTCCACATGTCAGTCAATATCAGTTATTACTAATATACATGTACTGTACAAACTACAATGCACATGAACATGGACAGCTCATGTATCCCTTAATCTTTCTTGAAGAAACAAGTTGAACTTAAACTACATGTATCAAGTTTCTATTTTGAGCGTCTGGGGAATGTGTTTCCTTCCTCAGGGAATTTAACTTTCCAGTATAGATGATAATCTCACTCTGAACAGGACGTTTACTCATGGAAATAAAGCCATTTTTTCCCATTGGCACTTTGTAACTTTCAGGACTCAACGTCACAACAGCACAAAATGAACCTGTTTCAATCAACTAGGCTGCAGTGTGTCAAGCAGGCATGGCAGTGGTAATGGAAGATTCCTGCAAACTCTTTTCCATTTTATAGAAAAAACTGTATCACATGTACGCGAAAAACGTCCATAATCAAATGTAGTTTGTACATGCACATACATGTACAGTTACCGGTACATATTAACCCTCCTGCTGTTTGAACAGTCACAGACAGTCAAAAAATAAATCCTCTTCCCTGCCATGCCCTTTACACAGGCTAGTCAATAACAGTCAGATGATATTTCAAGCAAGCACTCTGACTAGTCGAAGTCAGTCAACAGGCAAGTGGTAGGCACAGCTGGCTTATCGATCGCCTACAAGTCAAAGCAAATTGGAAACCATTTTGAAACCAACCATTAAACAATCAGGCCTTCAACTTTTTGTTGTGACACAAGCTACATGTACAGACAACATAGATTTCATTATTGCAAAACTTTTTTTATTTCAAAAGATACTATTCTCAATAACAAAAGACACCCAAAAAAATGATTTAGTTGCATAAAAAAAATATACTACTTAGGCATATTTCCACATGCACATATTTCCACATTAGAGACTGAGGCGATCTTATTTTTGCGATCGTCAATCCCGTCTGCATAGCGCAGTACACATCACTGTCGGCCTCGTGCGCAGCACTGGTTTTTCCTCGGGTTTCCCCCATTCCATTCAGCATTTACCAAGTGCTGCTTCTATCGCTTGATCTGATTGGTCCTTTGATTGTGGCACTCACCGAGTAAACCAATGCAAACTTTCATCTCAAGTTCCAGTATGCATTTCTGCACGCATTGTCTTTAATTTTTTTCATGATCGAGTTGAGTATTTCCAATCGATATTGTCACTTAATATTTTACTGATTTGCCAGAAACTGTTGGATGGATCACATTAAGAACATTTTTGTTGCATGTTTTTCATGTTAATTTTGATTGAATGGGATCTGATAGTGCCTTTTATAGTGGTTTACTATCTGCAGTTTAGTTGTCGTGTCGGACGCGCTGTCATGTTCTAGCATCGTAACACAGCACGCAGCGGCATCCACCACCGCCACTAAAATAATGAATAACGAAAAATGAACAAAAGCCTCCCGATATTTTACCTGGAAAATTTTTGGACGCAAATCTAAAACGTGCTCCTTGGGTGTGTTCAAAGCCCATACTGTCGTACGGCGCGGCGCGGATCAGAGCACGTATTATTACACGAAACAGTCGTTGATAAAGCGCGACTTGTTTTTCTTCGCGATCGAGCAACGACGGTGACGTCACGTCAGACGCCCTCATTGACAAGCTAATTCAAGAACTGAGCCTCCATGCAAACACATTGAACTGTAAGTTTTCAGACTATTTTGCTGTTTTTTCCCAAAATGTTCGCTGTTTGAGAACAATATAAGGGGTCTCATGGAATGTCAAGAATGTATAGATCAATCCAGGATAACTGTCTCTCTCATTTGTAATCTCTTTACCGGTTTTTGGGGGTCTTTTTGTCCTCGCGTGGGTTTGTGACTATGCTACTGTGATGGTGCTACCAAAGTATGGCGAATCGGTGGAGCGTTGGTATGGAGGGGTACCCGTAATTCAACGCTCCACTCAGTAGAGCTAGAGTTGCCCAAGGTACGAGATGACCTGTTACCGTAAGACCAATGTTAAAAGAGAGCCAACAGGTCAAGCCCTGTTTGTAGGGCAATTTCATGTACATACATGTACATGTATGCATGGTACATGCATGCATGTACTGTAGGTTTACGGTTACGTACATGTAGGCCTAGGGCTACATTGTAATTATTTTGTACTCCGGGTTGAATACACTACACAGTGTGCGTTCGATACAGCACAGAGTGCACGAAAACAACACAATTAAAACCAAAAATGAATCACATCCCTCAAATTCTAAACAATATATCAACTCACAAATACACCATGAAGTCCATAGCTTACCAATGTATGCAATGAGGTTTTTGCGGCCCCTTTCCAATTCTTTCCTCAGCTGTTTTCGTTCATTGCCGCAGCGATTCGTTCCGCAAGGAGTCGCTGCTGCCATCTTGTGTACCAACGTGACGTCATCGACGTTTCCGATCGATCGAGTATTGTGCGTGAAATATAACAGGATGAAAAGTTTTTTGCGCAGATGACGCTATCAGGATGGAAATGATGATAATTATTTTGTGTACATGCGCAGACGATCGAGTATCATTCTCATCACTTAATGATTTCTTTACAGTTTCATTTGGTTTCTGGCTCGTATTTCATGTACATAAAAACATGTAGGGGTAGGAGGGGACTGAGGAAAACGATCATTACCCTGCAGAGATATACGGCCAGTCGACCATGATCGCGCCGTACCGTGCGGAGGGCGCTATAGTCCGTGGGACGAGGCCTTTTTATCGCATATCGCTTGCCACGCGATCCACAGTTTGTTCGGGAATGAGAAAATCTGGGATGAATTCTACACATAGAGTTATATTATAAAATAACTCTATTATTCTACATGAGAAACAACATAAGAAACAACGCCCTCTATTGACATTTTCAGGTCTCACGCTCGAACGGCGGGAACACGACCCACGAACACTGCACTCAGAACAGGATCTTACACTACCTATCCGTCGGGCTTTGCAAGAATGATATACCCGTGTTAAGAACAAGACCGGCCCGAACTCGGCCAATGAGTGCTTGCTAGATGATAGGCTACTTCTTTCATATTAGATTCTAGTTTTTTTTGTAATTTCTCATCGGGATGCCAAAATAGCCTACCCAGTGTAGTGTCAGGCCTATGGGCGTCGCCAGGATTTTTTTCGGGGGGGGGGCGCAAAGCAAAACTGTTTCATTATATTCTCAATTTTATCAAATTTCCGAGCGTGAGCAGGGGAGCATTTTCCCTACCCCCCACGCCACCCATCAAATTAACAGCAATATGGCTTCGCACACCTCTTTTTTTCGTTTTCCGGGGGGGGGGGGGCAAGCGCCCCCACCCCCCCCCCCCCCCCCACCCCCACCCCCACCCCTCGCGACGCCCATGGTCAGGCCTTCTTTGTGAGTTCAAACAAACTTAAAACACTCGGGTGGGAATCTCACCCACACGATCCTGTTTTGAAAAATACGCCAGTAAATTGAAGGGTAAAACAAAATATATTGGCATTTATTATGAAGCCCGGGAAGGGACAGGGTGGAATTTTTTTTGGCATTTGCTAATTCGTTCGCACGAATTACTAATTCGTTCGCACGAATTGCTAATTCGTTCCCACGAATTGCTATTTCGTTCGCACGAATTCCTAATTCGTTCGCACGAATTACTAATTCGTTCGCACGAATTCCTAATTCGTTCCCACGAACTTGCTATTTCGTTCGCACGAATTCCTAATTCGTTCGCACGAATTACTAATTCGTGGGAACGAATTAGTAATTCGTGGGAACGAATTAGTAATTCGTGGGAACGAATTAGGAATTCGTGGGAACGAATTAGTAATTCGTTCGCACGAATTAGTAATTCGTTCGCACGAATTAGTAATTCGTTCGCACGAATTAGTAATTCGTGCGCACGAATTAGTAATTCGTGCGAACGAATTAGCAAATGCCAAAACAAAATTCCACCCTGTCCCTTCCCGGGCTTCATAACTTAGCCTCGATCAGGCCGACCTATTTACTCTCATTCATTGCGCAGCACAAGCAGCATGCACCATTAAGGCAGCACAAGCTCAACGGTAGTCTATAAAACTGTGGTTCGTGATAAAGTTTGTATCTTTCTCGTTTATGCGATCGGGAGGGAGAGTGTTGTTTGAATGTTTGGGTGGAGTGATCGAAATAAGGTTGTGACATTACTTAAGAAAGGCTTTAGCGATACTATAACACCCGTTTGCTGTCTTTAATTCTTTGGACCGAGTTTGACAACTTTGTGCCGAATCTACCGACAAAGATCGAAGAAATCTGAACTCGACGGTGAGGGTCGTGGGCGAGTGGTTCTCCAGCGGCACTGTTAATCTTGTCTGCAGTTATGGCTTAAATATGGCTGCTTCCGTCAATTTGGGACCGACAGGAAGATTCTACTACAAGATGACCCGTATATCCTCTTCGGGCATTTTCTTGTTACTTGTCACTACTCTATTCATGACGACATCGGTAACTGTTTCTGCCCTAGGTAAGTGAGTCGCACGAACGCAGCAAATAAACAGTTTAGCTAATTGCTAGGTTCACACATTCCCGCGTCACTGCCACGAACACCCATGCAGATCTATCCCGAACACGCGCGGATCCAGATGGGGGCACACCCGGCCCGTGCCCCCCCTTTTTGCAACTGTTTTTTTTTTTTTTTTTTTTTTTAACGAGTCATCTTAGGGCGGGCGCGCATTAAATACATCCCTTTGAGAACATGGCTATCTTTTTCCTTTTTGAGGAGTCATTATGGCGGGCGGACGGGCGGTCATCAAATCAATCGCTTGGAACATAACTATTATACATAATTATCAACAAAAATATACAATGTATAAGTTTTGAAGGTCGCCTGTCAATCATTGTCTCAAAATTTCTTTCAAAGCAAGAATATATTTTTATAAGACACTTTTTTATTTCCCGGCTGGACTAGGGGCACATTTAATACAGCACTTGCATTTAATGCTTCATGTCAAAATGTATTCCAAAATATATTCTAGAGTAGAACCAAGGGCAGATCCGGGGGGGGGGGGGGGGTAAGGGGGCCATGCCCCCCCCCCCAAAAAAAACGAAACCAATTTTTTTGTTTTATGTGACATCGCAATAAAGGCAGGCAATGAGAACACCACCATCTTTTCCTCAATAAAACAGTGGTTAAAGTGGTCAGAAATTGCCTCAGATCGCACCACAGAGTATCTAGAATCCAAAAAATTTTCGGGGCCCTTAAGCGGGCCCCGAACCCCACGCCGTAATTTTTTTGACCCACTTTTTGGGGGGACAAAAACTTTTTTTGGGGGGGGGGGACCAAAAATTTGTTTTGGCCCACCCCAAAATTGTGTTCTGGATCCACCCTTGAGTAGAACATGTACCGGTACACGAAATTATGTAGGCTATGTGTTTTTTTTAATAAATGAAGAATAAAATCGCCATCCCCTTCTTTTATTTTCCCGGCCTCAGAGAGAGATTTACGTCTGGTTCTCTACAAAAAAATTTTTTTTAAAGCAAAATGATTAAAAAAAACCTAGTTCGTTAAAGTTTGTACTCGAAGTTAATTCTTTTGTAAATTCCAGGGGAAATTTAATACGAATTATGCTCGGTTTTTCTTATTTTTAAATGAATATGATCAGGATTAACAACGTCCCTCAAATAATAGCGTCAAAATATATTCCAAAATATATTCTAGAGTAAAACATTTTCACAAAATAATGTAGGCCATGCATTTTATTTTTTAGATACACGAAGAATTAATCGTCATCCCTTTTGCCTCAAATAGAGAGAAATCAAATAAATAGGGGTTATTTTAATACGACTTAGTATGTCTTGTTCTCTCGATTTATTTTTAAAGTAAAACGATTTCAAACACCCTAGCCCATTAAGTTCTGAACCCTCAGTTAATTCTTTTGTAGATTCCAGGGGAAATTTTAATACGAATTATGCTTAGTTTTTCCTAATTTTAAAAGGAATACGAATAAGATTATCAACAGCCCTTTGACTTCAAACTTAATTTCAAAATGTATTCCGAAATATTTTAGAGTAACATTTACAAAAATAATGTAGGCCATGCAGTTTTATTTTTTTAATAAGCGAAGAATAAAATCGTACTACGAAAAAAGACATCGGGAGCCTTTATTTGGACTTGGAATATCATCCCCCAATCGTTTATCTATGTGCATGTACACAACACGGAGGTGAAATTTCACGTTCAATTCAGGTTCCCACATTTTTCGCATAAAGGTTTCCCCTGTCTCTGAGAAAAAAAAATGCCCAAATAAAATCTCAGCTCCGAAAAGCCTTTCCAGAGAATGATAGCCTTGACCAAGGCTATCAGCTTGTTCCCATATGAGCTTGTTCCCGCTACCGCACAAACACCGCGCGCGCAACGACACAATGTTGTACTATACCGTTAGCCCCAACGACCCTTGCGTGTGCTTTGTGTGCATGTACGTACGCCCCACACACACTTCCGCAAACAGCCGTACAGTAAGTCGACGCGGAAGATATCTTGCGCCTCGACTTACTGTACGGCTGTTTGCGGAAGTGTGTGTGTTGCGCGCGTACGTACATGCACACAAAGCACACGCAAGGGTCGTTGAGGCTAACGGTATAGTACAACTAGTGATTGTGTCGCGGCGCGCGCGGTGCATGTGCGGTAGCGGGAACAAGCTCGTATGGGAACAACTGATAGCCTTGGTCAAGGCAAAGAGAATGATTGATAGCCGCATTGTTCAAATTGATACAATGCTACTCTTGTTCATTACAAAGCATATACATTTGGGTTCAGCTGTAGGCCACCGAACTTTAAGGCCTTTGATAACAGCTCAGGAATGCTGCCACTTTCGGGAAATTTGTGCAGACAAACTTTTTCATATTTTGGAATTTGGAATTTTGATGCAGTTTGCATTTCCGTTAAATTAAAGTTTGTTTTTTTGTTTTCTTTTTAAGAAAATCGGCGCCCCCCCCAAAAAAAAAATACAAATAAACGATTTTCCTCAGGCCTTGACATTTCTTGAAGTGATTCGACAACACTTGCAGAATGCAGACGATTCATTTCGTCTTAAATTATTTAGCCAGCAGACTTCAAAAGAACATGGAAAAAAATGGATGGTTAAAGTGTATACAAGTGTATATACAAAGTAAGTATATATGTGACCGCAGTTACCTCACATTATACTGGGACACAGGCGGCAGTCTTTTTGAAGTCTTGACTTAACATTTAAACGCTACGGGGAAATTTTGCTAATATCATCAATTTTTTTTATGACAACCGAGATGGTTTTGAAATAAAGTTTTATTTCTTCTTTTTGTTTGTAAAGACTATTCGTAATGTAATACTCAGCAGGCTTATAAGTTATACAACATTTTTCAAAGGAATTGGGACGGAGAAATTTTCTGGGCCGGTTGATTTGCTCAGCCGTGGGGTGGGGTGGG